GAGTAGCCATACTTACATGAGATAAAACAGACTTTAAGTCAAACTGTATAAGGAGACAAAGATAGACATTTTATAATGATGAAAGAATCAACTTGGCAATAGGATATAATAATTGCAAATACATATGTACCCAACACTAGAGCACTCAGATAAACAAGGCAAATATTAGATCTAAAGGGAAAGACAGACTCCAATCCAGTAACAGGTTGGGGGTCTTTAACCACCCCATAACACCCTCACTCATAGCACTGGACAAGATCATCTAGGGACAGACAAAATCAACAAAGAAATGTCAGATTCGCCTTATAGGGAGAGCGGAATTACAGTTTTGATCATTGCTTGATACAGCATGTAAGATGACTACATGTAATAATAATTTATGCTGCTACTTCTTCTAATAGGAGAGACTCCGTTGAGTGTTCCCAGCCAAAGAATGATAGAGATATCTTGGAGGTGGAGTGGATATGCTGATTATCTTAATTTGATCATTACACATTGTCACATAGGTAGTTGGAGATATCACTCTGCTACCTTAGTAAATATTGAACAAGTAATATGTGCCAATTAAAATTCTTTTTAATGAATGAAAAAAAGCAAGATTTTTTTTTGAGACTTTTTTTTTTTGAGATGAAGTGCTCGCTGGTCACTCGAGGGACTGGTAGTGCAGTGGCCGCGGATTCTCGGCTCCCTGCAAACTGCCTCCCCGGTTCATGCATTTTCCTGCTCGTCCACCTCCCAAGTAGCTGGGAACTACAGGCGCCCTGCGCCCATCCGGCTAATTTTTTGCTATTTTTAGCTAGAGACAGGGGTTCTGCCACCCGAGATGTAGCCTAGGATGCTGTCCCAATCTCCTGACCTCGTGATCTGGGCCGCCGCCTCAGCCCTCCCAAAGTGCTGGGATTATAGGCGTGAGCCACTGTGCTGGCTGTAAATGCAGATTTTTTTGAAAAGAAAGAAAAGAAAACGAGACTCGACTTGGCTGAATGGCCCCAATCCGTGGCTCTGCTCAATCTCTCTAGTAGGCTACTCTCCTGTTCCCATGACTGGCAGTGGCAAGAGTACAGGAGCAGCGAAGAAAACAATGACTCCTCATTAAGTCCCAGGGCTCAAAACTTAGTATAATATTATTTCTACATCCCATATCTTCTATCTGGACAGATGCAAATTATCACTACCAGCTCCTGGATTCAGAGTACCACAAAAAGACCCTCCAACTCCTGCGTGGAAGGACAATTGTAAAGAATCACAGCCGCGCGTTTTGTTTGTTCTGTTGGTTTTGTTAACTTTTTGACAGACCGAAGTCTCACTCTGTGGGTCCAGGCTGGAGTGCCAGTGGCGCAATCTTTGCCTCCCTGCAAGCGCCTCCACCTCCGGATTCATCGCCCATTCTCCTACCTCGCGCCTCGCCGACAGCTGGGGACTAACAGGCTGCCCGCCACCACACCAGCCAATTTTTGTATGGTTTTATTGTTTAGTAGTGATGGGCTTTCATCGTGTCTAAGCCAGAATGGTCTCGATCTCCGGACCGTTGTGATCTGCCCGCCTCGCGGGTCCAAAGTGCTGGATTACAGGCGTGCGAGCCACCACATCCGGCTGAGATCCTACAATTATAGTGGCAAAGCATACTGCTTACGGCTCCGTGGATGACCTAAATTAACAGTTTTCAAACGTATAAGATGCTGTCTTACTAATAAACATGCCAACGTGGACAAGTCACTGTATGAATTTTAATGTAATTTCACAATCACTTATTCGATACCCGTCAATAAGGAGCTAGGAGCGGGCGAGAGGCGGCGGTCATCGTTGCCAAGAGGGGAAGGAGTACTCTCTGCAGCCGCGTTCGGGTTGGCTCAGTGTGGGGTCGCAAGCTTCAGCTTTCAGCCTGCGCTGGATTAAACCCAGCCTGAATCATCATCCCATGACTGGAGAATGTGGACAGGTTATTGTATTAAGAAACTAATGATAAACCAAGGGCTATAGGAATTAAGAACAAGGGCTAAAAGAGAAATGTTTAGAGTGATCCAGTATGGCCCATTAAAAGCAGCTGCATTCTCCAGCACTCACGAAGAGGAATGAAAAGGGGCAGGTGAATTCAGCACCTTCAACTGAGATATCCAGGTTCTTATATTGGGACTGACTGGAAGAACAACTCGCCCCATGGAGAATGAAGAAAAGTGGCGAGAGGGTGCGATGGCCCAGCTGAGAGCAGCATAGAGCCAAAGGAAGCACTTCCCACAAAGAGCCACTCCCAGCCAAGGGAAGCAGTGAGTGATTGTCCAATCCTGCTCAGGAGACAGTGCTTCTCCTATTGATCTTTGCAACCCATGGATCAGGGGATCCCCTTGTAAGCCCATGCCACCAGAGCTTTGTGTCTGATACACAGAGCTGTGTGGAGTCTCAGCAGATCAGCTGCTCGGGCACACACAGAAACCCAGGCGTTTTACATAATCTGGCCCCGAGATCCACAGCAAGTTGGGAAATCTGTCCATACATATTTTGGAAAGGGGCTGAATCCAGGGAGCCAAGCAGCGTCATTCTGCCAGCTCTACTTCCATGATATCTCACAAGTTAAGACCCAATGGCTTAGAATCCTAACCAGCCAACAGCAGCAGGTTGGATTTCACCTCACATGGGTCTGAGTTCCCCAGGTGGTGGAGAGGGGCAGCTGGCATCACTGCAGTTCATAGACTCAGCCACTCCTGCCTGCCAGCTATGGAAAATACAGGTGGTCAGGAGGAGGAAGGGTTCCCTACAACGCAGCACACCTGCTCTACCAAAAAGCAGCCAGACTGCTTCTTTGGATGGATCCCTGATCCCATGTCTCCTGACTGGGTACGAACTCCCAACAGGGGTCTCCAGCCACTTCCTACAGGTGTATGTAGACTTGCTACAGGTCAGTATCCCCCTGGGATGGAGCTTCCAAAGGAAGGAGCTGGCTGCCATCTTTGCTATTTCACAGCCTTCACTGGTAATACCTCCAGGTACACGGGAGAAAGT